GGGCTATGCTGGTTGTTTTGTTTCGTTTGACTTGAAAGCGACGGTATGTGGACGAGCTTTGAACGGTGCTGTCACATTAATGGCGCAACTCTCCTTCGCTTTCTTCTCCATTAACGCTATGACGCTTCCTTGAGTCCCTAGTTCAGAATTGCTCGGCTTAGTGACGGTTTCTTCTGAAGATACTGTCCTTTCCTTGCTAGCGATGTTTTTTGTGCCTTCCCAAGCAGCGTATTTCAATGCCTTTCGATTGGCTTGTTGAGAAGCATCACTCGACACGTTCGCCACATTTTTCAAGGAAGTACTTGGTTCTTCAAAGTCATCATCCTGCAGAAGCTCCATCCCATTTCGCACAACAGTGGCGGGCCCTGAGCTGTTGTTCTTCTGTCGATTACTTGCATTAGACTGCTGACTTTTCTGGCTAGTTCGGCTTCGAGGCCTCGAGCTGGTGGTAGGCGTAGCCGGACCTCAAATTATTATAATACTTTCGAATGTCAAATGTATAACCATATATTGACAGTACGAACCAGGTTTGAATTTGTTCAGCTGCAGCTTGTCTGTGAGTGACGGGGGTCGCCTTAAACAGCGCAAAATAACTATACAAAATTCCAGATTAAACTGGACGCAAGATGACCTCGAAGACCCAGTCCACAAATGCTGACCATGGGTAGTGATGTAGAGAGACAAAAGGGTATTGAATTATCCGAAGAAAAAAAACTGTCAGAACGTCTTCAGTAAGACCCCTGCCGGCTTGTAGCTTCGAGCGAGCTTATGACGAATGGACACTGAGCTTGGAAAAGAGGAGCAGAGGGGGATATGGCGAGAGAATACACAAACCGCAAACAAAGGAAGACCGCACCAAACCATCTCATCGCGGCACACGGCGAGTGCGAGATGGAACTATGGGAGCCGTCTCTGTGGGCGGAGCCAGACCTTAGCGATAGACCTCCTGCCCCCCTATCATGCATTTTCAAGCCGCGAAAGTGGTAGACCCTCTACGGCTGCGGACTGTGAACCTTGTGCAAGACAGTAATCCTGCCATCGGGTCGTCGTGGACTGTGCCTTTATGTGGCTAATGCGATAGCAGAGCACTAACCCATTGACGTCTGGTTTCCTACGTTTAGCGGCGTCCGGACGACTTCGAAGCATGCCTACTGGGGAGGTAACTTTAGGCGGCGGTTCCCGATCAGCACCTCAAAAACAAATTAACAAGAGTGATCAAATTATCGAATTTGCACGAAAAAAAAGAAAAAATAAAGCTCACTTGCACTCCTAGGAAAGATTTTCGCCAACTCATCATATACATCTCTGATCCTTTGGGAAAGCTCCGCTATACGGAAGACAAGTTTTCGCTTTCTAAACGGTCGCCTTTGATAGTTGCACCTCTTGAAAAATGTAATAATGACCAATAAGCACCTTATATGATGCTTTGCTGGTAACTGCTTTGATAAATTGAATTCGAGATCGAATTGTTTAGCCGTACTTTTGCTCGGTGGTTTCCCCAATCGGTTGAATTCATTTGCATAAAACTTGTGCTGAAGCAAAATGTTAAAGAGAACGTTAAAAGAGCTGTTGCAGTCTTATTCACAGTTAAGGTGGGGGTGGGGCGTGCGCCAACCACTTATCCACCAATCGTGGGCGTCTGACAGTTTTTAAATGGTGGAGAACCGGTTGCGCTGCGCCAAACCTAGCCCCCTGGTACTTCCCATGTCTCTAGCGAATAAGAATACATATGTCACAGAAATTTTAATAAAAGCAAAAAAAAGCGTACCTCCACCCCGCCACCGCAAATAATTTTGAAGGAGTTATCACTTGTATCTACGTATAGAGATCCATTGAATTTTATCACAGATTGGGTATCGTAGTGCTCTAATGTGCACCTTACCCAAATCGAGTCCATCTGAAAATCAGAATTCAGGGATGTCATATACGAAGCATTCCTTGCACTGAGTTGACTTTGTAGTTTCTACAAAAATGTCAATATTTAATCTCAGATGATATCCCAGAAATACCTTTTTCAGGAAATAGACAACGAAGAGAAACAGAATGCGTCCCCAACAAGAGACTCATCAACGGCGAAGACTTTACCCTTTTATCCTTTAATTTACCCTTTACTGCCCTTCTTATCCGAAATCAGGTCAGTTTTTGACCGAATTCTCACTACGAGGGCGCACTCGGCTGAAAAAATTTCTCCCGAGATAGAGTTTAACCTCCTAAACGGGAATATCCCACACCGCTTGGCCCGAAACAGCTGGGCGCCTCTAAATCACCAAACAAGCTTGAAATGTGCTCCTTGACATTCGTTGAATGTCCAACCACCGTGGTTTGACATCCAGCGAATATCACATCCTCTCAGTTCACAGCCTCCTGGTGTCTGCGCCCAGACGCTTGTGCCAAAAAAACCGTTGATTCCGAACTCACTGGAAACTGTCACCGGGGGTAGCCTGACCTCCTGTTGTGCCAAAAAACCGTTGATTCTGAGCTCACTGGAAACTGTCACCAGGGGCAGCCTACCTCCTGAACACGAATACCACACCTGCATGACATTTCAAGTAAAAGGATAAAAGAATTAAGTCTCCGCCGTTGATCAGTCTCTTGTTGGGATGCGGCACGCATTCTACTTCCATTCAGAATCGTAGTGGCTTATTGAAT